ACCAGTCTTTGCCCTTACAGAATGATATTCCACGAGGAATAGAGTCTCCTATGAGCCAGGAAGAGAAAGGAAAAAGGGGCCAAGGCCAAGAGGCTGGAGGGGCTGTTTTAAAGAAAAGTTGCCAAAAAGTCTTTTCAGAGGAGTTGATATTTGAGTCAAGTTAGGGATAACATATAAGTATTGAGCAGCTACTGTATGCCAGACTCCATTCCAAGTGTTGGCATATGGCAAAGAACAAAGATCAAATCTCTTGCCCCTGTACGTTGTGCCCACCTGGGGAAAGAGTATCCTAAGGAGAGGGGGATGCCACGAGTGCGGAGGCCTGGAGTGGAGAAAGCTCAGCTGTCTCACGTGCTATCTGCATGCTGGTGTGGCTGAGAGAGCAGCGGGGACGGGGTTGAGGGATTAATCTGGTGAGATTAGATCCCCATTTGGGCCAGGAGCTGGGGAACTAGCAGCTGAAGGGTCATAGGGCTCGAGCCCCCTCCCCCTGCCACCCTCAGATCATGCTGCTGGAGACGGCCAGACGCTACAACCACGAGACGGAGTGTATCACCTTCCTGAAGGACTTCACCTACAGCAAAGATGACTTCCACCGCGCAGGTAGCGTCCCGGGGAGGCTTCGGGGAGGGTTGGCGCCCCTGCTGGCTGGAAGACCTGGGGCCATCGCATCCCTGTCGGGAGTCTGTTTCTTTGTCTCCAAAGTCAGGGTGAGGGTTGAGCCAACATGAGAGCGAGAAAAGAGTGCATGTGCCGTGTGTGCTGGTGCGCGCCTGTAGTCCCAGCTACCCAGGAGGCTGAGGCGGGAAGACTGCTTGAGGCCAGAAGTTGGAGGCTGCTAGGAGCCGTGACTGTGCCACTGCACTCCAGTCTGGCGACAGAGGAGACTATGTCTCTCTTTAAAAAAAGAAAAAGAATGTACTGAGTGCCAACTCCGTACAGTGGGTTGCAGTGGAAGCTGAGTCAGAGGGGCCCCTGTTATCATATCAGCCATCTTGGTGTTTTGGTGGGCATTAGGAAAGGCATTCTCCCACCCCGAAACCTGGTCTCAGCCGAGGGAGGCAGGCTGGAGCTCGTTCCATTGTGAAGCAGGCAGCCTTCCCCGCTGTCTAGGGCAGCACTGCGTCCTGCTCTCCAAAAGCACTGACTTGGGCATGGCACCTGGGCAGGCGGGCTTCTGGAAGAAGGCCTGGGCAGTGAGAGGCACTGCCTGGGAAAAGAGTGGGAGCAGCATTGGTGGCGCTGCAGGGCGTGTGCCAGGGCCTCGCTCCCTCGTCGTCCCACAATCTGCCTGCGACCTCTCTGCATTTCTCAACATCTGTCTGAACTCCACCTTCTCCCCTTCCTCTAACCCCAGCCCCTTCACCACCCAAGACGGTCCCATTAACACTTTTATTTTAGTATGAGCTTAGCAGGGCAGGTCTGTGGGGAAGCTTTCTGGCAGGGGGAATCAGCAATTGCTAAGGCCCTGAGGTAGGGGAGAGCCAGTGGTTTGGAGGAACTGCAGGGAGGCCCAGGCAGCTGGAGCCCAGGGAGATGGGGTGGAGAGGAGGTCGGGAATCCCACCCTGCCACCTCCCAGCCCCTCCATGCTACCACCCTGGCTTTGGTCATTGCTCCCTGGAACACTGCCAGGGTCCCCTCAAGGAACCTCCTGCCTCCACCCACCTGATTGTGCTGTTCACAGGTTGGGCAGAATGGTCCCATCAGCACTTGAGGCTGCTCACGTCCCTCCTCTGCTCAGAACCTTCCACGGCTCATGTCTCACTGGGAGAAGAGCTAGAGTCCTCTGTGGCCCACAGAACCCTTTAGGGCCTGGCATTGCTCCCTCTCTGCCCTCAGCTCCCGCCCTCTCCCCTTCCTCTAGTACCCTGGCCTCTTATTGGCACCCATCCTGCACACTCCAGCCAAGGGCCTGTGTACTAGGGGAACCAACTGGTTGGCCCAGGACCTTCTCAGTTTAACACTGAAAGTCTCATGGCTTGGGCAGCCCTCAGGAGCCTCAATCCCTCACCACCTTTGGGTTGGTCACTGCTCCAGCGTAACCTACAGCATAGCCTTCCCTGCCCGCCTTGTGTAAAATAGAAGCGTGGCTCTCAGCGGGGCCTTCACCCTTCTGTGCACTGTTCTGTTCCATTGAACTCAGAGCCCTCTGACAGGTGGGCCGCTTACTGATGTGTTTGTCTATGACGCATCCCCTCTGCCCTGAAATGTCAGTGCCGGGGCCTGGCCCGTGGCAGGTACTCAGTGACGTTTGATGAAGGAACAAGTCAGTCTTGGGAATGAGTTGGGCTTTAGCTTGAGCAGTGGAAGCCAGCACAGGGACTGACATGGCGTGACCTAGGTTTTAAAAGCTTCCCTTTGCCTTCATGAAGGGGGCAAGGATAGGACAGCAGAAGCTGCAGCCACTGCCCAGGTGGGAAGAGGGAGGTGATAGGATCGTAGAAAATACTGAAGAAAAGTACACCCTCATTATTCATCCCCTCCCTGGGCGGGATGTGTGGCACACCTACGTGCCAGCACTCTCATGGGCACGGGGACACAGGTGGACAAAAATGACAAGAATTCTGTAATTACTGCTGTGTTCCCGGCCCCAGCGACTGTGGGCGGTGCCAAGGGCCAGGGTGTGGGGCCCGGTTTCGGGCTGAGGGAGTCACGGGCGCCCTCCCGCCCCACAGGCCTGCAGGTGGAGTTCATCAACCCCATCTTCGAGTTCTCACGGGCCATGCGGCGGCTGGGCTTGGACGACGCTGAGTATGCCCTGCTCATCGCCATCAACATCTTCTCGGCCGACCGGCCCAATGTGCAGGAGCCGGGCCGCGTGGAGGCGCTGCAGCAGCCCTACGTGGAGGCGCTACTGTCCTACACGCGCATCAAGAGGCCGCAGGTAGGGGGCCGCAGAGCCGACTCGGTCCTGAGATCCGTCCAGGCTGGGCTCTGGCAGTGTGCTGCCGTCCCCTGGGCGGAGTCTGTCTTCAGGCCCCGCCCTCCGGACGGGGAGCCAGGTCTAGTCCAAGCACACGGGCGGGCCCCAAGCTGGCTTCCATGCCTGGTCAGGGAGGGGCCCTCCTTTCGGTTGCGGTGGGCTGGCATGGCAGGGTCTCAGCCGGCACCCACCTGCTTCCCGCAGGACCAGCTGCGCTTTCCTCGAATGCTCATGAAGCTGGTGAGCCTGCGCACGCTGAGCTCCGTGCACTCGGAGCAGGTCTTTGCCCTGCGGCTCCAGGACAAGAAGCTGCCGCCTCTACTGTCTGAGATCTGGGACGTCCACGAGTGAGGGGCCAGCCACCCAGCCCCACAGCCTTGCCTGACCACCCTCCAGCAGATAGACGCCGGCACCCCTTCCTCCTCCTGGGATGGAAGGGGCCCCGGGCAGGGCCTGAGTCCCGCCAGCCCTCGGCCCTTGGGATGAGCCCCAGTCCGGGTCCAGGAGGCTCCCTTCCTGCCCACTGAGTCTTCCAGAAGGGGAAAGGATTACAGGTCCCGACCGCTGACCCTTCTCTCTCCCCTCCCTCCCCAGCTTACACCTCAAGCCCAGCACGCAGTGCACCTTGAACAGAGGGAGGAGAGGGCCCATGGTTTTTCCCCCATAGCCTGGGAGACCAGGGGCTCCCCTCTCTCTGCTCCTTTTATTTAATAAAATCTAAAAACAAAAACAGGGAAATAAAATATGAATACAAGCCAGCCCGGAGCTGGAGTGTGAGATGGAGAGGGGGTGGGCTTCTAGGGTCCTCAGTGACACCAGGTCCCTAAACCTGATTCGGCAGGTGGGACTGGGTGTGGCACATACGATTCCAGAGCTGGGTGATGTGATGGCTGCTATGGAGATACAGGACAGGGACCTCACAGCCTCAAGGTCACCTCCCTGGACATGGTGAATCAGAACCCAGACTTGAAGGATAAACAGGATGTAAGTGGATGAGGGGACCTGGACTTTTGTCCCAACAAGTGTTTGCTGAGGCCTTCTGTGGGCCAGCTACTGGGTTGGGCATTCTAGAGATGGAGACATCGTTCACTCAGCAAATGTTTCCGGAGCATTTACGATATGTCAGGCACAATTCTAGGCACTGGAAACATCCGTGAACAAGATAGCGACCCTCCTACCATACTGGGGATAGGCACGGACAGAATGTGAGGGAATAGGGGCTTTAATGAGGGCGGCACTGGCGGGGCAAGAGGAGGTTAGGCAAGGCATCACAACAAAGGCGATCGCCTGGACCTAAAACAAGAACCCGAGGGCTGGGTCTTCAAGTTGAGGGAACAGTGCGTGCAAACTTTGGAAGGTGAGGAGAGATCCAGGGAGTTTGGAGTGAGAGCAAGCCGAGAAGTTCCCCCAATTCTTCCTCCCGCTGTGCCAGCTCTGAAGCAGCTGGATGGGCAGTTCCAATCAAGGGCGAAAGGCGGGGGTTGCATGAAGGGATGCAACTTAAAGGTACATTTATTTAAGGCGGGGGACAGCGGAAATGAGGGTGGTTACAAACGATCACCTTATTCCAGGAGTAGTGTACCGAGCGCCCAAGTGTCACCATCATGCGTTGAGTCTAGTTTACATATGGGGAAACTGAGGCCAGGATGAAGGAGAAAAGGCCAGGGCTCCACCACGTATCGGCCAGCCTCTGCCAGGACGTCTGGCATCAAGTCACCCGCTGGCTGGTGGGCAGCGTCGGGGCAGCGCTCCCGACGCGGCCCCGGGCGAGAGGCGGGGGGGGGGGGGGGGGGCGGGGAAGATGCGCGCGCAGCACCCGAGGGTGTCGGGGAGAGAACAGAGCCGCGGCGCGCGCGGACAACACGAGGTCGTGAACTCAGCCGCACGGAGGGGTGTGGCTTTGGGATGACGTCATGAGAGGCGGAGTTAGGGGATTTTTCAGCAAGGGGGCGAGGCCACTTGCCAGCAGAGGAAGGGGGCGGGGCCTGCCCTGCAGTTGCACGAGTGGGGCGTGGTTTGCTGCCCGGTTGGGCGTGGCCTCGCCCGTACTAGGTCAGGCGGGGGCGTGGCCCGTCTCAGCGCGCCGCGGCTCTGGGCTTGCGCACGCGGGAGTCAGGGGTCACGGCGGCGTAGGCTGTGGCGGGAAACGCTGTTTGAAGCGGGTGAGTAGAGAGAAGAAGGGGAGTTCGGGGCACTGGACCTGACAGGGAAGGGGGCTTGAGCAGCCAGGGCACATAGAACTGAGAGAGGGTTGCGAGGGCACCCCTTGGCCCGGGGGCGCGCAGGAGGGGGCAGGGGCCAGGGGTCTCCTGGGTGAGGGCGCGGGGACGCGCAGGAAAAGGCCGGGGTGGGGGTGGAATTTCTCCGCGGGCAGGGAGCGCACGCGCCGGGCGCCGGGGGCGGGGCGGGGCTCGGGAGGCACGCGAGGCACGGGGGGTCTGGGTGGTGCGGGCTTGGTGTCCTTGATTCGGCAGGTGTTTGAGTGCTTTGTGCCAGGCGCTGTTCTGGAAGCAAGAACAAGTCAGAAGGTCCCTGCTTCGAGAAGACAGACGGTGTTAATAGTAGCACTAGTAAAGCAGTGCTCTTGGGCTCCGAGATACTCTCAGAAGGAAACTAACGCAATGTGATCATGAGCGAAGAGCCTGCTTCTTTAGCTGGAGTGGCCGCTCTGGCACCCTCAAGTGCAAAGGCCCAGAGGTGGAAGGAGCTCGATGTATTTGTAGCAGGAGCCGATGGGACAAGAGAAATACAGATGAGGTCGGAGTCGTGATGGGGAACTAGGTCCTGTAGGACCTTGTAAACCTTGATATGGAATCTGGCCTTTATTCAAGGTTCATTGGGGAGCTCTGGGAGGGTTTGAGCGTGGAAACAACATGTATTTGCCCCGTGTTTTGAAAAACTCGCTGGCCTCTGAGTGGAAATTGGACTGTAGCAGGAACAAGAGTGGAAGGAGAGAGAGCGTCCTGCAGGCAGAGAGAATCAGGCTTAGATTATCTTTGCGTGTAGAGCCAGGGGGCTGGCTGATGGACTGGGTGTCGGAGTGAGGGGAAGAGTCCAGCATGACTCTAAGTTTTGTGATTTGAGCAGCAGGCCGGATGGAGAGGGCTAAGGGAGAAGCAGGTTGGGAGTGCCGCTCTGAAGGTAGAGCTTAGGGTGGGGAGTGAGTGGGCAGGATTTAGAGGGGAACACCGGAGGGGGCAAGGTGATACCAGTGCCTCGCCTCAGCCCCCCCACTCAAGGAACCTGTTGTTGTTGTTGCCTTGTCTCTCTCTCTTTTTTTTTCCTTTGGAAACAGAGTCTTGCTCTGTCGTCCAGGCTGGAATGCAGTGGTGCGAACCTTGCTCATTGCAACCTCTGCCTCCTGGGTTCAAGTGATTCTCCTGCCTCAGCCTACTGAATAGCTGGGATTACAGGCGCCCGTCACTATGCCTGGCTAATTTTAGTATTTTTAGTAGAGACAGGGTTTTGCCATGTTGGCCAGGCTGGTCTCGAACTCTTGATCTCAGGTGATCCACTTATCTGAGCCTCCCAAAGTGCTGGGATTTGCCACCACACCTGGCTACCTCTCTCTCCTCCTTCTTGCACTTCCCCACCCAGGTCTCTCTTCCCTTAGAGAGGTTCCTTCCCTCCCCTAAAATGCTCTTCCCTCTCTTAAGTCCTTCTGACAGCTGCTCTTTGGACAGGCCCTCTGCTGAGCACTGGGGAGCCAATGATCATCCACTTTGGTTGGAGGAGGACAGATCTCAATCCAGAGTGCACTGAGCTATGATGGAGCAGTGATAGTCTTTGGGAGCTAAGAGAAGAACCTGTGTGCTCAGGGAAGACTCACCAGAGTGGGTGATACTCACAGGGAGTTTCAACTCACGTGTCTTTTTTTTTTTTCCTTTGGTTTTTGTGACAGGGTTTTGCTCTGTTGCCCAGGCTGAAGTGCAGTGGCATGATCTCAGCTCACTGAGTAACATCCACCTCCCAGGTGCAAGCGATTCTCCTGCCTCAGCCTCCCATTTAGCTGGAATTACAGGTGTGTGCTAATATTTGTATTTTTAGTAGAGACGGAGTTTTGCCGTGTTGCCCACGCTGGTCCCGAATCCCTGACCTCAACTGATCCGCCTGCCTTGGCCTCCCAAAGTGCTGGGATTACACATGTGAGCCACTGTGCTTGGCCTAAACTCACATGTCTTGAAGTGACCAGACACTGTGCAGGGTGATGCTGGAGACCCCGACTTGGGCAAGATGCTGACCTCTATTCTTGAGGAGCTCACAGGCTGAAAGAATCTGAGCTCTGCTTGCACACGTGCATTAAAGAAAGTAGTACAAGGCATTGTAGGAACCTTGAAGGGCAGCTGGTCATCCTGGAGGAGCTAAGCCTGAGCTGAGCCTCCAGATGCAGTGGAGTTTCATGCAGCGAACACTGCTCAAGGCCTCCTGGGGGCCTGGCCCTGTGCTGGGTGATGGTAGGGTCCTAGGGGAGAGTCAGGCCTTGCTCTGCCATCCAGAGGCCCCTGGCCGGTAAGGGAGGCAGACATACACCCAGATAGTCCAAAGGCAACAGTCACAGAGGCCTGGGGGAAGGACAAGGCCAAAAGTGTGGAGGTGAGCCTGGGCAACATAGCAAGACCCGATCTCTACAAAAAATACACAAACTGGCCAGGCGCGGTGGCTCACGCCTGTCATCCCAGCACTTCGGGAGGCCGAGGCGGGTGGATCACGAGGTCAGGAGATTGAGACCATCCTGGCCAACGTGGTGAAACCCCATCTCTACTGAAAATACAAAAATTAGCCAGGTGCGGTGGTACATACCTGTAATCCCAGCCACTCAGGAGACTGAGGCAGGAGAATGGCTTGAACTCGGGACTTAGAGGTTGCAGTGAGCCGAGATCATGCCACTGCACTCCAGCCTGGGCAACAGAATGAGATTCCATCTCAAAAAAACAAAAAACGGTGAGAGTGGAGGCCGGGTGTGGTTTCTCACTCCTGTAATCACAGCACTTTGGGAGGCTGGGGCGGGAGGATCATTTGAGCCCAGGAGTTTTGAGACCAACCTAGCCAACATCGTGAAATCCCGTCTCTACCAAAATTAAAACATTAGCAAGGCATGACAGCTTGCTAATGGTTCAACTTACTTGGGAGGCTGAAGTGGGAGGATCATTTGAGCCCAGGAGATCAAAGCTGCAGTGAGCCATATTCATGCCGCTGCACTCCAGCCTGCACAACAGAGCAAGACCCTATCTCAAAAAAACATACAGGTCGGGCGCGGTGGCTCACACCCGTAATCCCAGCACTTTGGGAGGCTGAGGCAGGTGGATCACCTGAGGTGGGGAGTTCAAGACTAGCCTGACCAACATGGAGAAACCCCGTTTTTACCAAAAATACAAAATTAGCCAGGAGTGGTGGTATGCACCTGTAATCCCAGCTACTCTGGAGGCTGAGGCAGGAGAGTCACTTGAACCTGGGAGGTGGAGGTTGCAGTGAGCCAACATCAGGCCATTGCACTCCAGCCTGGGCAACAAGAGCAAAACTCCGTCTCAAAATATATATATATGTAAATAAAAACAAAGCTGTGAGATTGAGTGAGATTGGATGAGGTCATTGAGGGAGTGAGTGAGTGAGTTGCTCATCAAGAAAACAAGTGTCTGGCCTGCAGCGAGCATGTACTGTCATTTTATTGCTGAATCTCTGTTAAGTGCTTGCTCGTGAGAGGGGCAGAGGCCAGTGTTTGCCAAGCTCTCGTCCTGTGCCAGGGCACATGAGAGGGGGCACACGGGGGCCTTTCCCTCGTAATACTGCTCTCCCTCCAGTCTGTACCGACAAGAGGCCAGGTTTTGCGCTTGCTGACACTGTCCCTCCTACCGCACCCCCGTAGCCACAGCCAACTGACCTCGGGCAGCCAGTCGGCCCCTTCCTTCCTCCTCCAGGTCCGGCAGTGACTCTGGGCTCCCACAAGCCCCTGCACTTCCTCTGTCCCAGCCGAGTCTCTCCCTGCAGGTCATCACTCCCTGTCCATCTCTGGCTACTTACACAGCCGGAGCAAGGGCCACTAACTGAGCTTGCTTCTTCCTGTGAGATAAGTCACTCATGTACGCAGTTGTCACCCGAAGAACGCAAACACAGAGTCATTTAAAGTCTTCCTCATACGAAACCCCCTGCACACATTCACGGGTGCTCCGCTCACAAACGGTGGAAACAACTCCACCCTGATGTCCATCCGCCGATGGGCAGATACGTAAAACGTGTTCTAGCTATACAGTGGAAAAGTACTCAGCAAAAAAGGAACGCAGCTCTGATTCCAGGCCGCCACGCACATGAACGATGAACGCATTCAGAGAAAGCAGCCAGACACAAAAGACTGCAGATTCCAACATCCCATTTATAGGAAATGCCCAGAATAGGCCAATCCATGGAGACAGAAAGTAAGATGGGTGGTTGCCAGGGGTGAGGGCAGATGGGCTGAATCGGGGGAGAGAGCTAAAGGATGTAGGCTTTTTAGGGTGATGAAAGAGTTCTAAAATTGATTGTGGTGATGATTGCCTAACTCTGAACATACTAAATACCATTGAACTATATATACTTTAAATGGGTGAATTGTATAGTATGTGAGTTACAGCTCAGAAAAGCAGTTACCAAATGAAGCCTTCTTCCACCCTGTCCCCCAGGAAACCAGTTTCTTAGCTCTCCTCGCAGAATGATGCATTAAAAGCAAACAGATTTATACCTAGTCTCTGCATTAAAAACAAAAAGATTTCTACATACTCCCTGCATTAAAAGCAAAATGATTTATATGTACTCTTCTGCCCACCTTGTAAAATTGTTACTGTTTTCATTTAAATATTTCCCTCTCAAACCTAGAGAAGGTACAGATTGAGCACAGTGAACAGCCATGTCCCTTTGCCTAGATCCACTGGCTGTCGGCGTGACACCTCCTTTGCTTCATCCAAGCATACACATATACTTGTACTTTCTTTTTTTTTTTTTTTTTTTTTTGAGACGGAGTTTTTGCTCTTGTTACCCAGGCTGGAGTGCAATGGCGCGATCTCGGCTCACCGCAACCTCCGCCTCCTGGGTTCAGGCAATTCTCCTGCCTCAGCCTCCTGAGTAGCTGGGATTACAGGCACGCACCACCACGCCCAGCTAATTTTTTGTATTTTTAGTAGAGACGGGGTTT